AAACTGTAATTTTGTTTCACCTTCGGCTTCTTCCTCGAGTAACACGTTATTAGTAACGTAAACAACAGTTACATTACTGATTAAGGCCATAATTGTCTTTCACTTTACTCACGCGCTTCCCAGTGCAGTCAGAAGCACGATACCAGCCCCAATACAACAAATTAACTGAAGAATGAACCAACACAGAAAGTAGACCAAAATTCCAGACTGTACCATTCAATTCTCTACAGTGTTGAGGTATGCTTGTAATTACTAATTATTTTATTTTAATTTTACCTGGGTTGGGTTATTAGAAGAAAGTATTATATAAGAAGACTGAACGGTTCTCCCAATTTTGTCCCTTTAAATTCATAGTCGCCCTGGTTTGGTTTCCGTCGAGGAATCCATAGATATTGAGAATTGACATCGACAGACCACCATAATAACTTTAAAGGTACCTTTGTTTTTCTGTCATTAAATCCGTACCGTCAGTATTTGTAATGGGCAGGGCCACCCGGTGATGGATTCCGGAGAGAAGCGAATTGGGGAGGAACTGTCCCACCCTATTGTGTTATCGGAGCGTGTTTGGTCCGCCGTGAATGAAGCCGAGTCTTTCAAACTCGAGTGTGCTGAAGTGGGCAAGCAAGTCGATCGCCTCGCCCAAATGCTCAGAACGGCGGTTCGATTCGCCGCCGTCTACGAGCGTCCTGTTCGGCGGGTGGTTGCGGAGGTTTCCAAGAATCTCGAACGTGCCCTAACCCTAGTTCGAAAATGCAAGCATCGGAGTGCGCTTCGCCGCATGATGACCATCACCAGCGTAACTGATTTTCGAAAACTCTTCAATCTTCTAGACGCTTCCCTTGGGGACATGAAGTGGCTTCTCACTATATTCGAATGCAACGGAGGCGGAGGCGGTATAGTGCTTTCGCTTCCCCCAATTGCAAGCAACGACCCCATTATTGCTTGGGTTTGGTCCTCTATTGCCTCCATTCAGATGGGTCAATTGCCAGATCGTATCGAAGGGACCAACGAACTCGCTTCCCTTGCCGCTGACAATGAGAGAAACAAAAAGATTATTGTCGAAGAAGGGGGAATCCCTCCCCTGCTTAAGCTTTTAAAGGAAGGTCCCTCGCCGGAGGCTCAAATTGCGGCCATCAAAGCGCTCTATACACTCGCAAATGATTCGGATAGGGTGAGGACTATTGTCCAACAACACGGAGTCCCGATTATAGTGCATGCTCTTGGAAACTCGCCGATGCTGGTACAGATTCAAGCGGCGAGTTTGGTGGCGAGAATGGCGGAGCATGACCCCCTAGCTCAGGAAGATTTCGCACGGGACAACGCGATTAGACCCCTCGTTACTCTATTGTCGTTCGAGACTTATATGGATGATCCTAAGAACGAAGCGTGTAGGCAGAGTATCCATTCCATTGTTCAGATCAACAGAAACCTGGAGAAGAAGGCATTTGAAAAAACAAAGGAACAGAACCCGATTTCAAATTCGCAATTGAATTCAAGCTCTTTGAGGTATATGGATGGGAGTAGTCGGGCAGGGCAGTACCGGAAAGAGAGGGAAAATGCGAAACCTGAAATAAAGCTTAGGCTGAAAATTGCTTGTGCCGAGGCTCTGTGGATGATTGCCAGAGGGAGCGTGTCGAATAGTAGTAGAATTTGTGAGACAAAAGGGTTGCTTTGTATGGAAAAGATGGTGGAGAAGGAAGAGGGAGAATTGCAGCTGAATTGTTTGATGTGTATAGTGGAGATAACAGCTGCGGCAGAGTCCAATGCAGACCTCAGACGTGCAGCGTTCAAGACAAATTCCCCTGTGGCGAAGGCTGTGGTGGATCAGATGTTGAGGCTAATCACCGACTCGGAGAACCCAACGCTGCAAATTGCCGCCATAAGGTCGATAGGATCGTTGGCAAGGACATTTCCCGCGAGAGAGAGTCGAGTGATTGGTCCTTTAGTAGTGAAGCTTGGGAGCAGGCATGTAAACGTGGGTGCAGAAGCTGCCATTTCGCTGGGGAAGTTTGTTTGTCCGGAGAACTTCCTTTGCATGGAGCATTCGAGGAGGGTAATCGAGTTGAATGGGGTGGCTCTCGTAATGAAGTTAGTTAGGGAGAATGAGAAGAGTGCGATGGATGGAGTGATTCTGTTGTGTTACCTGGCACTTCATGCGGGTAGCAGCGAGGCTGTGGATCAGGCAAGAGTGTTGACAGTGCTGGAGGGGCAGGATCGCAGCATGATTGGCCAATACCCGGAGTTGAAGGAGTTGGTGGGGAAGGCAATTGGTCACCTCAATCTGTATCACACAGGAGGAGGGGGGAGTCCATTCTAAGGGGCACTGCCATATATCTAAATATCCTCTGAACAAATAAATTATTACAGTTACATAAGAGTCGTGTAAAGCTTAGGTTATACCTTGTTAGCTTCTAATGTGGTTGACAGAAGACAGAAGACAGAAGAGTGGCCAACCCCCTTCTCTCTTCTCGTGCCTTGAATTGGTTTTGTGGTTTTTGATGTCTCTGCTTGCTTGTTCCTTGAAAATTACAGCATCCCCCCTCTTCCCATAAAATATTCAAGCGGACTACACATTTTTTTATTGCCCAACCCTCCTCTACTCATTCGGATCTAGGATGTTTTATCTCAAAACATAATAATACTACTAAAAATAAAAATAAAACATACTTGTATTTCTTTGTGATACTTTACCTCTATGCAATATAATAAAATAGCTCTTATTGATAATTTTATCCTCATCGATTATATTTCTCATTTTCATTTATATTAATTTAACTTTTCATTATATCA